TGCTCGTGTCACGGTGGAGGACATAGTCCAAGGGTTTGAGGACCTGGAGATTGACATTGCTACACCTGAAGGGGAGAAAAGACTTGGAGATGTCAAGCGCCATTTCATTCTATGGCAAAAGAAGTTTATCAAGTTTCCAGGCGAGGCGCCAAGGACAACAAGTCCACCCCCCTACGGTGGTGGTGGTGGCGGTGGCGGTGGTGGTGGTGGTGGTGGTGGTGGCGGTTCACCTACACCTCCGTCACGTCAGCCGACGCCGCCCCCCAGTCCACAACGTCCGGCGGGTGATCAGCCGCCGCCCCCCAGTCCTCGTCCGGCGGGTGATCAGACGCCGCCCCCCAATCCACCTCCGGCAAAGAAGCAGAAGCAGTCCTGGATTATTAACCCGGACCCTTATGTACCTAAGACCATAAAGGTACCGGAGCCATCACTGAAGCCTCTCCCCACAAGGCCTTGGGAACGTAGTGCCGAGGAAGTCGACGCGGCCGCGGCTGCTGATTTGGAGAAATGGAAGGCGGACTGCAAGAAGAAAAGAGAGCCCGATCCCAAGCCAGTATTTTCTGATGAGAAAAAGAAGTGGGCTAAGTCATTTTTGAGCACACCGTCCCAAACCGCGAAGAATCTGCCTAACGACTATGCACGTGAACTTCGCAGGCAGACACTCATGTTCAAGGAGAACAAAGAGTGGGAGAAGGCCTAAAGTAAAAAAAGCGGGAAACAAGTTGCCCAGCTCGGGGAACAAAGTAAACAATCGATTGCCCCGCTTATAGTGGAAGCCTTCTGTCCGGATGCCCCCGAGATCATACAAGCTGCGGCAGCACAGGGATTGACTGTAACGAGTGCCAGAGAACAAGCGGCCAACTTAGGTATTACTCTTCCTGAACTGTTAGGCCTTGATGAGGCGCCAGTGAAGGAGGTAGTAATTACATATGTCAAGAATGGGCCTCTCGTCGAGCCTGCGCAGGAAAAGGATCTACCTCCACAAATGAAAGGTCTGCTGAAATGGTACAAGGGTTACATAAAAAATAAAAACGCCAAAGAATATATTTATGCGGAAGTTAGACATGAGCATCACTTCAAACATTACTATGTACAAATTGAACTGAGTGAATTGTTCCAGCTTTTCAATCTGCGCGAGCTCGATAAATCTATCATCAGTTGCTACGTTCTGTAAGTGATTTATTAATTTCTACCCCATCTCGTTCATATTGCCTGCACTATATATATGTCCTAACTATATTGTTGTGTCCGCTATTATACATGCAGAATAAAGATTAAGGAATGCAGAGTAAGGAACATCCATGATGTTGGGTTCATTGACCCACACATCGTTAATGGACATGTGTTGGAGCGTTACCCCGCCGACGTGGAGGCAGACCTGTGGCAGTTTCTTACAAAGCAGGAACTCAAAAGTGATATTCTATTTCCTTACCATTTTGAGTGAGTGTTTCTGTCTTGAGCACATTCTCTTTTGTTTACTCCATGCATGGTATGTGGCCGGCTAATCGATGAGTTATGCATGACGTACTGTGCATGTATCGTGTCCGCAGGTTCCACTGGATTCTGCTAGTAATTAAAGTTAACACCTTAGAATGTCTCGTCCACGACTCTGTGAATATGGATCCAAAGCTTTGGGGCGGCATGAGAAGAATGCTGCAGAAGTAATTATTTTCATTCATTTGCGCTCTATATCGATCGGCCTATTTCGTTCATTTCCTAATATCAAGTAACTAATTAATAACTCTCTTGTTCATTTAATTTTCTTTGCCTCGTAGGGTTTGGAGACGGTTCGTAGATACAAAGGTCGGTGAATTCAAAAAAGAGCTAGAATTCAAAATGTTAAAGGCTAAGAATGCTGGGGATATTCAGCCACCGGAGACCAATCTATGTGGATACTATGTCTGTGAGATGATCCGGAGATACACCTCTGAGCGGGTTCCGAGTGATACCAATGCTCAGAGGAATAACCTCCGATGGATGCTTAGTCCAGAAGCTCGCTTCCGACCACTTCAAGAGGAACTAGCTGGATGGTTCAGCAGGGAAGTCCTCCATCCTAAAGGAGAACACTATTACGAGGACGTAGAACTTTATATGCATTAAATCATGTATGGAAACTTGTTCAAAATTGTATATGGTCATCCGATGATATTGAATATATATTGTATATTCCTCTTGAATTCTTTTTGGTTCTAATTTCAAATTTATTTGAAATTGTACATTCATATGCATGTATGTAGTACCGTAGAATATATGAAACTCCTTCAAAATTAAAATAAAGCACAAAAGAAATAAAACAATACAAATTAAACAGAAAACAGGTTTAAGGGGGGGGGGTGCTAAAACCCTAAACCTGCGGCGGCCTTTAGTCGCGGTTGGCCAGAAGAACCGCGACTAAAGGTCCTCCGCCCCGACGGCCACCTGGCGCCCACGTGGACGGGCCTTTAGTCGCGGTTCTTAAGCAACCGCGACTATAGGGGGGGGCCTTTAGTCGCGCCCGTTCGGTCGCGGTTGCGCAACCGCGACTAATGGCAGTTGCGAACCGCGACCAAAGGCCCTTTTTCCACCAGTGGTCCATAGTCAGGAAACCATGACTATCTGTTGATCACACCGAGCTGGTCAACTAGAGGCTTACCAGGGACATAGTGTGGTCTAAGTATTCACACGTGTATTACGATTTCCGGATAATACAGTTATAGCATGAATAAAAGACAATTATCATGAACAATGAAATATAATAATACTTTTATTATTGCCTCTAGGGCATATTTCCAACAGGCACATCTTTCTAAACACAAGAACGGCCCAGATTAGCACACACCTCTTAAAAAAAGGGGCATTATAGTCATATTACTCTTCACCTGCCGTATATGTATACATTGTACATGGAGTAGGGTCACACATACCGGCACACGTAACCCTCCGTCCTGGGCCTGGCCCATTTATTTTTCTTCTGTTTTTAACCTTCAAAAAATAGGTGGATGAAGTAAACCTCTTCGATTGCTTCAACTCACTATAACCAACTAGGACAACTCACTTGTTGTGCCTAGTTTCTTCTTTTATTCTTGTTGTGCATCTTCTCGTTCTGTTTCTTCTTCTTTTGTTTGGCCTTTTTTCTTCGGGTTTATTTTTCATTTGTTTTTAATCTTTTTTCATTTGCTAATCTTCAAGAACATTTGCTAATTTGTTTTCAGATTACATCGAGCCAACTCGTCAAATGTGTTTCTTTATATTATGACACTCGGTCACATTATAAAGCAGAGCTCTATGCCCCCATATTCGTTGCTCAGTGGGGTGGGACTAAATTGAGCGCTATGGACGGCTGGGCGCACACGTGACCGAAAAGTTCAATCAGGTTTGGGCCTGGAGATCGTGTGAGTGGGGTGTGCCGGGAGCGCGACGTGGTGCGTCAGTGTGCGCACGTATAAGTCCCTCTCCCCCCTGTGTGTTGCAGCTGAGGGTACCGAGTTTGAGCTCGTGTGAAAATACAGAAAAGCCATCGGCGCGGTGAGGTGTTTGTGCGCCATCAAAACTTCTGTGTTCATCCTCTCGCCACACTATCTTGTCTCCGGTGATCGCCGGCGAGTCGTGATTCCATTTTTGGTACCAAAACAAAATAATAAAAAAGAAGAAAGTCTGAGAAGATGCAATAACCAGGCACAAAAAGTCAGCTGTCCTAGTTCGCTAAAGCTGGTGGAAGCAAACTAGGTGGGGAGTTCGGATCCTACCTCTTGCACCTATTTTTTGAAGCAAGGCTCAATTTCTGAACGGTAAGATTTCTTTTCTTCATGTCTTAGTTTGGAGGAAAATAGATGATTACTACAAAGTTGCCGTGGAAGTTCAGTTCTTACATCAACTTATTCTGGCATTTCCCGAACATATATATGGATGATGAGGAAATGCAAGAGGAATTTAGTGTGTTGACTAGACACCATTTCAAGGCAATACACCGCCAATATGTTCTTGTGATCTAAATTCAAATGTACCAATTTTTACTTTGGTAGTCACTTGGTTCTACTTTGTGTGAGGAACAATACGACCCAACAAGTCCTCACGAGAAACACGCATGAGCATTTTCCTGTTCAAGTATGACTGGTATAAACTGCTGTTCTGAAGAGCCCCTTTGCAACTGTTACTGAGAAGGCGACACCGACTGGGGTGGAGGTTAACAGCAAAACCGGAGACGGAGAGAACCCCGTCCGTGGGAAGGGCGAGGACAACTGGCAGCGCGGCGCGGCCGACGAGCTGATGGCGGTGCGCAACGGCGTGGAGGAGGTCTGATGGCCGGAGGAGGGGAAGAGGGCATGCAGAGATGTGCAGCTGGCCAGTGAACGACGACGCCCCGTCCATGACAAGCCCGATTCCGACTTGCTTTGCTGGTCAATCCGTGTCCGGCTGTGCTGTGGATCCGACTCTGGTCAAGGCCGCAAGCCCGATTCGACTTGTTTTGCTCGTCGATGATTCCATAAATTGAAGAGAGGGCCAGGCCATGATGTACGAGCATCGCTGACAAGCGCTTTGCGTTCCTGATTTTTAGTTGGCGAAACAGTAGCGGCTGGGCGATCGTGATCCTCGGGCCGGCAGTAGTAGAACCATCCGCCTCCACACCGCCGGAATCGATGAAGCTTCTCCCGGCCGTCCTCGGCCTCGCCCTCCTCCTCCTCGTCCTGAATCCCAATGGCGTGGAGGCCCGGCCTGCGCCTACCGGCGGTCATGAGAAGAAGCTGTCGAGCGCCACCTTTTTGTCTTCGGGGATGACTTCGCTGCCAACGGGAACCTCCCTCCGACCGAACCCGTCACTGAGATGTCGCGGCAATGGGCTTACCCCTACGGCTCCAACTACGTCGATGCCGATGGGTTTCCGCGGCCGAATACCCCGTCCGGCCGCTTCTCAAACTACAAGATCCAGCCCGATTTCATCGGTAAGTACTATTGTTATACTTATTTATTGCCCTAAGACAAGTACTCTGTTATATTGTAAATCCCTGGTGCATCATAATTAACCCTACTCATTGTTCTATTGATAACTTGCAGCAACAATGTTGGGGTTGGAGGAAGCCCCTCCAGCACATGCCCGTACAGCGGAGAAAACCTGCGACCCGTCCGGCATGACTTTTGCTACGGGTGGCGCAGCGGTGTTGGATAGTACATCACATGAGGTTCCCACCTTTACCAAGCAAGTCAATACTTTCAGGAAGATGGTCAAAGACGGGACCATCACGGAGAAACAATTGACTCACTCGGCCTTCTCCGGCAATGATTATGCAAGCACCGGCGTCATTGGCCTAAGTAACCCCGACGATGTGAGTACTATATCAACATAGTATGCATACACTAGTTTGAACAATTAATTTGTTTGTGCATCTTACTAACTTAATTTTCATGTATGCGGTGCAGATTAATGCTTATATTGGGAAAGTGACAAAAGAGATGGCTGCTAATGTGGAGCAATTGTTGAAGCTCGGGGTGACAAAGGTTCTTGTCAACAACTTGCATCCTGTCGGTTGCACGCCATCACAAACCCGAACTAACAACTACACTACGTGCAATATTTTTGAGAACTTGGGTGCTTCCATCCATAACAATAACCTGAAACAAGTTATGACAGCAAAGAAGAATGTCCACATCGTCGATCTGTACACCACATTCATTAATATTGTGGATCATGTGCCAGGTATGTATCTGCATGCATTCAAAAGTGTCTTTATTTTAAAATTTTCTAATCTAATTTAATTTGATGTACATTAATGTAGGTAAAGGCTCAGAGCTATCGAAGGAATTCAAGCGCAAACTATCGCCGTGTTGCAAGAGTTTAGATTCGAAGGGTTACTGTGGACAGCAAGGCGAGTTGTCCATAGAGCTTCTTTACACCATGTGCGGCAAGTCCAATAAATTTTTCTATTGGGACGACATGCACCCGACACACGCGGGATGGGGGGCTGTCATGAAACAATTGGAAAAGCCTTTGAGGGAATTTTTAGATCAAGACTAGGTAGTCAGCTTTCATATGTCGTTGTAGCGCTTTTCATCCATGATGACAATATTCTGATTGTATTTGTTCGAAGTTTCAAGCGTTTCAAAGAGTGTATTTTCTGGATTCCAGGATGAATATTATATTGCATTTCCGTCTTATTTTGTGAAAACTATATTCCTAAGAAGTAATTAGTGTATTTCATTTGGCACATCAACAATAAAGATGTGTTCTAGCTATACAAACTGAATGCTTGCCTATATGCGGCTCAATAAGCTCAAGGCATTTCCAAACCGTTTGATTATTTGTTGTCGACGTGATCTACTGGGTCGGCGTGTTCTAGGGGTGATGGGTTCCTTGTCTCTGAATTGAGGATTGATATAGGGGTATCTGTGGACAACCACCCGGATGGGTATGGTTTAGGTTCGTCTTTTTATGTGCATATACAATGCTTAAACACCATCAACTAGTCATGGGGAAGATATGAGCATAACTCTATACCTGCGCACCTAGACCCGATAGTCTAACTCACAGGATCCAAAACTGTTGTTTCCCAACAACCTACGGCAGTGCACTAAGCAATCCTCTCACAAAACATTGCAACCCACCAACACCTTCCGCCGCTTGCCTCCAATCTGCGACCTCGCCTAATATAACCATGACGAGCTCCCTGGGTCTCTTTTGCTGCTCCACCCTATTGAAGACTCTCACATTTCTTTGCTTCCACGGGAACCAGGTGAAGACTCTCGTATTTCTTTGCTTCACGGGACCAGATGGAGACTCTCGCATTTCTTTGCTTCCACGGGGACCATTTGACCGCTATGACTAACGTGTCGAAACCAATACCCTGATTCTCCGTGTGTGCAGATTCTGAATGCTACCCTTTTTTATATTTGTTTTTTGCGCGAACCAATGGTAACACTGTTGCACACGGTTTTCATTGGAAAACTCTCGTCGACGTGGCATGCCATAGAGTATGTCCTTGAATTGCTCAATAAATAAGAGACTGTCCGGCAAGTGGGAAATGGGGTGAACATTCGGGTTTGGCGTGGCCACTCGATCCCAAGAGACACCCCCCCCCCCCCTCACGAGGCCAGTGCCAAGTCCACTGGGTTGTCGATTTCATCTAACAAG